CACATATATAAATGTCAAAGAAATAAACATATTAATTATATATATATATGTTGTGTTCATTATTTAGGATTCCAGTCAAATTGAATTGCTAAAGGAATTGATGGATCTTCAGAAAGATATGGTTGTCATGTTGCTGTCTATGCTGGAAGGTGGTAAAAATTTGAAATCTTTCACAGTTTTTCTAGAACAGTTTTTACCTTTGTGATTTTCTTCATTTGAGAAATAATGCTTTATTTTCCTTAAAGTTTTTAATTTTCACGTCTCAGTTGTCAGAAGAGTTTTTACATCTGAAAGTGAATGGGAGATTTAGCTAGTGCAGTTAATATAAATGATATTAATTCTGAATGCCAGAACTGTATAAAATCCAGGGCTAGCAGAAGATTTACTTTCTTTCCATGAACTTGGTTTCTCTTTTGGCTTAGATGAAAGAGTTTTGACTATTTAAGTTGAAATCTTGAGTTCTAAGAAGTGAACGGTTTTTCAGTCACTCTAGCACCTTTAATATATTGCATTTATTTTGGTATTGCTCTTAGCCATAACGAACAGGTTTTGATTTGTCTAGTGACTGACTAGGTTCAAGGTCCTGAAATTATGATTCCTCAGGGAATATAACCATTGTCAAGAAATAATACTACTATTGCTTTTAGCTTCTCTATAGTATTAGTGCCTCTAGTGCTAGAGTAACCAGACATACACATAGATGATTCAAAGATCTTTTTTCCTCTTTACTTCTTATGTCTATCCCATTATATTTTCTTGAGAGAATGGGAGAGCAGTAAATGCAGCATAGATTGCAGCGTAGCATGCGCTTCTACTGCTTTGCTCATAGGTCACTGAGAAGCAAAGTGAATTCTTAGTACTGTAGGCTGTGCTCCATGAATAACCTGGTGAGCCGCTCATGCTAACTAATGGGACACTGGCTCTGTCTGTGTTGTGCTACAGTGAAATTCATAATATGCTGCCCCACTTTTAGTTCTATTTTAGATGTAACAGATGTCTCTCAACAAACCTTGTTAGCTCTTCCTTTCTGTAACTTTTTTTTCCAAGTCTTAGGGTAATGTTATCAGTAAAAGATTTCTGATTTTACTGCTAGCTTCTCATATGAGTGCGTTGTCCAATAGTTTATAATTTTTAGTCTTTGATTATTTCACTAGTCATTATAATACACTTTTCTTGGATGAAACATTTACTGCCATCATTATCTCTAATATCCTGTCATCACATCTAGGTAATGTTGTGAATGGAACTATTGGAAAGCAAATGGTCGATATGCTTGTGGAATCGTCGAACAATGTGGAGATGATTCTGAAGTTTTTTGATATGTTCTTAAAATTGAAGGATTTGACTTCCTCTGATGCATTCAAAGAATATGACCCTGATGGTAAAGGGATAATTTCGAAGAGGGATTTTCACAGGGCAATGGAAAGCCATAAGCATTACACCCAGTCTGAAACGGAGTTTCTACTGTCATGTGCTGAAACAGATGAGAATGAGACTTTGGACTACGAGGAGTTTGTGAAACGATTTCATGAACCTGCAAAAGACATTGGTTTCAATGTTGCTGTTCTCCTGACCAACCTGTCAGAGCACATGCCCCATGATACCCGCTTGCAAACCTTTCTTGAGCTGTCAGAGAGTGTGCTAAATTACTTTCAGCCTTTCCTTGGACGCATAGAAATCATGGGCAGCGCAAAGCGCATTGAACGAGTTTATTTCGAAATAAGTGAGTCAAGTCGGACTCAGTGGGAGAAACCTCAGGTAAAAGAGTCAAAGAGACAATTTATATTTGATGTTGTAAATGAAGGCGGGGAGAAAGAAAAGATGGAGCTTTTTGTTAACTTCTGTGAGGATACCATCTTTGAAATGCAACTGGCTGCCCAGATCTCTGAGTCAGATCTGAATGAAAGGTCAGCAAATAAAGAGGAGAATGAGAAAGATAACCCTGAGGAAGAAGATCCTAGAATGGGTTTTTTCTCTCTTGTGACCGTGAAGTCAGCATTAGTAGCTCTCAAGTATAATTTAATGACTCTCATGAAAATGCTCACCATGAAAAGCCTGAAGAAACAGATGAAAAAAGTGAAGAAAATGACCATGAAGGACATGGTCATGGCTTTGTTTTCTTCCTATTGGAGTATTTTGATGGGCTTACTGCATTTTGCTTTTAGTGTTGTCCGGGGCTTCTTTCGCATTATCTGCAGTTTGCTGCTTGGAGGAAGCTTAGTAGAAGGAGCAAAGAAAATCAAGGTGGCTGAACTGTTAGCTAATATGCCAGATCCCACTCAGGATGAGGTGCGTGGGGAAGGAGAAGAAGGGGAGAGAAAGCCAACAGAAGCTGCATTGCCTACAGAAGACTTGACAGATCTGCAAACTTTATCAGAAGAGAGTGATCTACTCTCAGATATATTTGGGTTGGATTTGAAACGAGAAGGTGGACAGTATAAATTAATCCCTCATAATCCAAACGCTGGTTTGAGTGACTTACTGAGCACTCCCTCCTTAGCTCCAATGCCTGAGGTACAGGAAAAAATCCAGGTAAACTGTATCTTTTATTTTTGATGTATGTTTCCCTCTTTCATATGTTAGTATAGTCTTGAAATGAAATTTGCATCTCTGTTTTTCTGGATTTTCTGACATATTGTTAAGGGAATCACATATCATTACTAGGGCTTACTCTTTCTCATGTCATAAACTTGAATTTCCACAGCCTTCTCTAAGTACATGGTGTTTTGGTTTACTTTTAGCTCAGTGTTAAATTGTTTCTTCATTAATGTAAATTGAATTATCATCTTGTCTCAGAGTTTTGGTTGTTTAACAAAATCAAACAGACCGAACATTCTGCCCTCTGGGTGGTAGTCTTTTAAACTAACTCTGTAGTGTATAACAGTGTTTAGACATATTTTTAAACCTGACTTTCTGTAGGAGCAGGTGAAAGAAGATGAAAAGGAAGAGAAAGAGGAAACAAAATCAGAACCTGAAAAAGCAGAGTAGGTATTACTTTAACGTCAAATCCTACAAGGTCACTTCACTGTTGATTGCTCTGCTTGGCTGTGTGAGTTGCAGTGATACCTGTATTCTCTGTGAGGAGTGAAGTGCCTGGCACTATTAGCTGCCCTGAAGCTACTCTGAACATGACAAACTTTCAAGTGAAAGTTTATCAAGTATATTCTGAGAAGAGAACTAGTTTAGAACATCAGTTATTCTGTTTGTAGGGAGATACACAGAAATTAAAAGTTTGGCTTCAAATGTACTTCTGTGATCTTTTCATCTATCATGCTGACAGGTCAAATTAACTTCTAAATAATTCACAGTTCTTCAGATCATGTGTTTGGAGAAGGCAGCCCACTAACTCTGAGTTTCTGTAATGGGATAGCATGATGATAATCACACATCAGATGCTGACACACTCTTACTTCCATCTCCTTCTGGAGTGGGTACTTATGAATTCAACGGGTGGGCAGAAATAAAAAATTTAAAACTTGAGGCTTGACTTGTAATTGCAAGAAGAACCAAAGTTTTCTGCAGCATTTGTGAGAACCAGATAGTTCAAATGCATGAGGTTGGAGGGGGACACTTAGACATAAAGGCATTCATACAGACATACAGCTGTCAACTTACAGACATTTTGTCACTGCAACTCTTATCTGCACAATTATGAAGCGACCCTTCGGTAATAAGGTTGGCAGATTCTTGATTACCTGCCTCTGCCAGTTAGCATTCTCACTTCAAGGTACCAAAGCAACAAATTTATCTGCAGACTTAAACAGACTGTCACTCTTGCCAGTGCTTTGGACTTGTATCCCTTGAAGAGGGATACATCTCATGTGCGTGAACTGCATGAACCGCATGACTCATCATTGAGCCTCATTAAAAGATGAAATAGCCTATTTCAGTGTGTGATTTTAATTTTGTGTTTAGCAACTTTACTAACTTATTAACTTTTTTTTGACTTGACATACTATTTTGGCTTCTTTTGTATCCCAAGAGGAGAAGATGGAGAAAAAGAAGAGAAAACTAAGGAAGACAAAGGGAAACAGAAATTAAGACAACTTCATACACACAGATATGGAGAACCAGAAGTTCAGGAATCAGTCTTCTGGAAGAATATCATTGCATACCAACAGAAACTTCTTGTAAGCTGTTCTCTAGATTATGTGTTTAGCTGTTGGCAGAGACATGTACCAACATATTATTCTACCAATCTAAAGACAAATAGCATCTGAAAGACCACATTTTTCTATCCACCATCATCCATAAAAAGAACATAGCACAAAGGTTTAATGGAAATGTTAGAGAAAAGAAACACACAAATAGTATACAAGATACTAATTCTTAGGCAGAGAATTATTTTCCCAAACTCAGACCTTCAGAGATGCCTGTACATCATTAGAAAACATCCATGCATTTTTCTGGGAATAAAATTCCTGAATTTTTACAGCAGCTAATGAGCCTGTAGGATTTCTCCTTTCCTGAGAGACAACTTTAGGAAATTACAAGCTCTCCTATAAAAAGAATTGCCTAAGATACAATGCTTAACCTAAACCAAATAAGGAAAGATGTTACAGATTTTTTTCTTTGTGAAATAACAAGTTAATATTTGTCAAACATCTCAAAACCTGTAGAAAATAAGACTAATTAAATAGTAAAACTGCATATGAGAGTCTCTAAGTGAAATATGATATCCGTGAGTTAACTGTAGAACTGTTTAAAATCTATGATTTTATTAGCTAGGAGATTCCATGCATATTCACTGAGGCTAGTGTGAAATGCAGAGCAAAAAGAAATACACTTTTGCTATTTATCTAATAGATAATTGTTTAGGTACAGCCTACTTGTAACATGAATAATATAGCAAAACTACAAAACTGTAGTCACAATCTTATTAGGAAATTAGGTGTTTAAATTTTGCTTTTGAACTGAGATTAATTTTTTTAAGGCTAGTCACATAGGAGTCATGCAAATTTGACTTGATTTTTTTTTTCTAATAATCTTGTTTAATATTTCATGAATAGTCATCTATAATTAGGGCTGAAAAATTGAGGAATTCCTATGGGAGAGTTAAAGCATTCACAATGTCTACTGTAAAGGATTGTGAATTGTCAGGAATGGAAAAGGCACATTTCTGCAATCCTTTTGATTGCATCATAATGTCAGAGAAGCTTTCTACTCACAGTACTTAGGTCACAGATGAATTTTTGCTGACCTGGTAAAAATCCATTTGATTTTGGAATAGGAAAAGACTTAAAATAAACTTATGTGCAGATATTTTTATTTCTTGGTAACAATTTGCCATATGAATGAAAAATGAGCTGCAGGGAAAATGGAGACTTCTGTATTATTATTACATTACTATTACATTGTGATGTCTCTATGTTGTTTCCACGTGTATTGAGAGGACAATGAAAAAGATGTAAGATGTAAGATGCATCCTTTCTGCAAGGAGTGAAACAAAAGGTCCTTTATCCATTATTGTAATGTGGAGTAGGAGAGAATTTGTACATCACTCAAAATGTTTGTTGAGGGGTTTTTGGTTGTTTGGATTCTTTAAAAATATTTAAAATTCCATTAAAAAGTTCTGTAGGGAAAAAAACCACAAAAAACCCCCTCCATGCAAGAACCTAATAATTATGACTGAATCTTTATTAGTCAAAGTTTATTTATGTTCTGTTCTATTTTCAGAATTATTTTGCCCGAAACTTTTACAACATGAGGATGTTGGCGTTATTTGTTGCTTTTGCCATCAACTTTATCCTGCTTTTCTATAAGGTAAATATTTCAAAATATTACTTTTCAAGTAGCACAATGGAAACCATTTGGATTTTTGTAGGCAATATACCATGGTAAAACTACCTAGCCTAACATATTAAATACCTGCTTCATCCTACCACTTCAGAAATCTAGAGGAGAGCTGAAGTGCTTGTGTGAAGTAAGAAGAGACTTCCAGTACACAAATATTTACAAAGTTCTGTGCTGCAACAAAGCAGCAGGCTGTAAGGCATACCCGTGCCTCAGATGTTCCATTTCACAGTACAGTGAACCAACCAAGCCGAGCCTTCGTCGGCAACTTAAACTAATCCATGTCAGTTGAGATGTTTTCTTGTGCTGTTATGCTCTCCTGAGGGGGTGTGTGCAACAAGAAGTCACATCATGTCAAGCTGCCTAGAATATCACTGATTTTGTCAAGACTTTCAGTGTCATTAATACAACTCTAGAGTCTGTGGATTCGAATCAGTTTCTGGCAGAGCCCTGAAGATAAAGACTATATGTGGGATTGTCAGGAATTGACTGGATTTCTTCTAAGAGAGCTGTGCCCTTGAATTTGAGGTGATAAAATTTAGCATGGGCCAAATTTGCTACAATGGATAGACAGTGAAAAAAAAGAAAAGAAAAAGCACACTATCACAAGCTGGTATAACAAGATAAAAAGGTCTCACTAAGGTATTCTTTCTGGTTGTTTTTATGCCAAAAAAGTCTTACAATTGTATTGTCCTTGGTATCATTGTTTTCATCTGTACTAGTTAGCTTGTATTACTGTAAAACTCATATCAAAGGAAATACAGCTGCAATATTAAGATTAAGTGATTTAAACAGGTCTCCACATCTGCTGTGACAGAAGAAAAGGAACTTCCTGTGGTATCTGATGGTGAAAGTACAAAGTTGAACATCCTGGAAAGTGATGATGAGAGGGTCATTGCAGTGCATTATGTCCTGGAAGAAAGCAGTGGCTACATGGAGCCCACGCTGCGGATTTTGGCCATCCTACACACAGTCATCTCATTCTTCTGTATCATAGGGTATTACTGTTTGAAAGTAAGAAAAAACTGAACTTTTCTTTTGTATTCTAGGTCCAAACTCTTTTATCTGTTGAACGGTATAAATTGAAACAAAGTCATAGCAACCTTGCTTAAGCAGAGAGGGAAATCGTAAAGAAATCATATTTTGTTAGTGTAATGTAAACAGAAATTGATATGTGTTTTCAGGAAGTTACATGTCAGTCTGATCTGCTGTAATTGTCTGGCTGACAACAGTAACTTCTATCAAAAGCTGCTTGAGTCTGTCAAAGACAAGGTGTGAATGCACATGGCCAGAGGAAGCTGCATGACAGTATTTGTATTACTAGTCTGTCATCTGGGTTTTTTGGAAAGCATGCAGCATTTTGACCTATTGCTGCTGCATATTGTGGCTATACAAAATGTCTGCTTTTCATACACACACACTCTGGTGGTAGTGTTTTGGCAGGAGCTTAAGCATCTTTTGAGAATCTTACAGAAGATTTCTGTTGGGGATATGAAAAATAAAGATGTGATTTGTTTTTGCAAAATGCTTATTGTTGTTTAGGAAAACCAAATGCCATAAATCTCTGAACCTGGGAGAAATATATATGGGATGTACTTCTCCCATTTTTACACTCTTCCAAGGCATAAGCTATAGGTCAAAGTGCAGGATAGTGCTAAATTAAATGGACCTCTGCTATGACCCAGTATGGCTGCTAATTTGTCCTTATAATGTCTTATGTGGTCCTTATAATATCTTATGTGATATTTTTACTTTCCTCTTTTAATCGATAATACTTTTTCTATGCTAAAGACATGATCAGCATTTTTAGTTCATATTACTGCATTACAACTCTACCTTAAGTGTCCCTGCAGACCACTAAATACTACAACGTTTTCTTGTTGCATTGGTTGCCATGAAATATGAAAGCTTAGACTTCTGGGTTTTGAGATGTTCTCTTCTCCCACCCCATATGTTTTGAGGTTTTTTCTACTATGACTTTTTATGCTACTTTGCCACATTTTTTTTCAAACTGCATTTATTCTCTGATTAGAAGGGAAAAGCATTGTTATAATTGTTTGTCATAATGAATTGTCTTCTTTCTAATTCTGAAACTCTGAAGAAAAGTCCAAATATGGTTTCAATCTCTATCTTTGAAGATTTTGAAATCTAAAATCTTCATAACTGCAGGCCTGTATGTGATAGGTTTACTTCAGAAGATTGCTCAACATGAAATCCACTACATTTTTCTCATTTAACTATTGGAAAATAGTGTTGGAACATTTTCATTGTACCTAATGTAATCACCACATTGCCTGAGTAGTCCTAATTTTATTATTACCATTTTTGTATACTCATGTCCACTCTTGAATAGTATTACAGTCAAGGTGGGTAATGGAGGGTGAGTGCATTCTGGGGACCTGTGAAATAGTTCCAGGGAAGAGTAGGGTTTATTTTTTGTTGATAACAGATTTCTAAGAAAAATCCACTCTACTGGGACCGCTATTTACATCTACCTTCTCAGACTGTACTTTTGAATGTCATCCTGCTGATGAAAGAGAGTTGTGGGTAAAGCCTGATCCTTACTGGTTAGGTGTCTCAGCTGCTGACAAATCAAGTCTATGGAATGTGAATGTGATTTTTCTTTTTTGCTGCTTACAGTCTTTCTTTCTCTCTGCTGTGAAACCACTTTATTTCCTACTGTAAAACCTCAAGAAATCTTTAACAAGTAAAAGGCAAAATCTGGCATCTCTGGATATCAAAATGAAATCCAAAAGTGTGATCCCAAGTCAATTTTGGAACTAGACTTTCTAAGAATTTTAAAAAAGATTTTATTTTAGCTCTCTTTTCACTTGAATAACTGTAATCCCTCCATAGCAGTGAAAAGCTATTTTTATTTAAAGGATCCTTTTTCAGGGATTTTGGCCACCTTTTTATGACTGTTTGGTACACTGCAGTTTAATGATTCTGAACGACCTAATCCTTGTGCATCAATACGTTTTCCATGTTCTAGGCAATTGTCAAGCTTTTAATTTTTTTAAATACTGTTTTTGCTTTGTTCAGTTTTCATGCTTAACTTTTCATAACAACCAGATTTTCTTAAAAGTTTGCAGACATGTCAGTGCATTTTAAATAATTCCTGTCAATTTTTTTTTTAACTGCAGGTTCCACTGGTTATTTTTAAGAGAGAAAAGGAAGTGGCAAGGAAATTGGAATTTGATGGGCTATATATAACTGAGCAGCCATCAGAAGATGATATTAAGGGACAGTGGGATAGGCTTGTAATCAATACACAGTGAGTTTTTACTTACTCTGTCTCATTATAGCCTTGCAAGGAATTGTTCTTCCATTTCCACAATTATATACTTGATCATCCAGCTTGTCTGAAATAAACAATTTTTAGGGACATATTTCTAGCAAGGATATACAAAAATATACAAAATATGTCAGGCACCTGTTAGGCTAATGTTTACTAGTATTTTTAGTATTACTGTTTAGTCTTATTAATTCCTAGATTTTTACTTTAAAATTATTTCTGTTTCATAAAAGACAAAAAAATGCTCTGAGTTTTCTTTTGGCAAACACAGTGATAGTGACTCTGTATTGCTGTCAGCTCGAGAGTGAACTATGCTTTGCATCCTTTCAGTGTCTCTTGAAGGCTCTCTTTTAGGAGCGTATTTAGAGTTCTGACTCTCTGCCTAGTGGGGCTGTGAGATGTAACTCTTTAGAACCCTGTCTGCAGGCATTGCCTCTGCTGCTCTTCTCAAGCTACATTTACATGGTAGGCTGAAAACCATTTGGCAGCTTTCATTCTGGCAGCTTCACAAATGACTAGCTGGTGATAGGCACTACAAAGAGCCTCTTAGAAACAAGCTATGTAATTTTTACGGTCTCTTAGTAACTACCACACCTTCTCATGGTTGTCTAAAATGTAATCTTGTTTATCTGTGTTTTTCAGGTCTTTTCCAAATAACTACTGGGACAAATTTGTGAAAAGAAAGGTAAGGCTTACTTTTAAAAACATGTATGAAGGTAAAATAAAATTCTAATGCATATTTCTTTTCATGTTTGAAGAAATGTGTACTACAGTTGTTTGAAATATAACTTTAGTTCAGTGTAAATTTTGACGTTTACCATTTTTAAGTGAACAGAATTCCTTTTTCACCTCATTCTTACAACTGCTTTTGACTGGTTTGGGTAGTTATTCTTTCAAACTTTTTCTGCATACAGTTTGTTGTATAAAACTAGTCATGAAATTATGTGAAGAATTTCTGTATACACTTGTATGCTTATTGAAAATTGTGTAAAATGTTTTGTCTATGTGTATTTATGTATTCCCTTTCATACACAAACAATAGGGAGTCCCTCACCCAATAGATTAGAAAGGAATTAATAAGAAGACAGGACAGATTGAGTTGTTTAGGCACAGGGCATAGTCAGACAACTGTACTTACCAGAAAGGTATATACATGCATCTGGCCCTTTTTGTCCCTTGCCACTCTGTTTTCTCACACTTTTGCCTCCCCAAATCACTGAAATTCATCCCTTTCTCCACCTTTGCTTCCTCCCTGTAACAACTCATTTATGGGATACATAATGTATACATTGCTTGGCAGTAATCCTCTTAGTCTGAAAGGCTGTCCTGGAGAGTTACTAGCAATGACTCATCTTGGTGGGTTTCAGATTTGGAACACTGGGTCTGAGGCTCTCCTGGGACAGCCCTGGGAGGGATCAGGCAGAGTGTCCATTCATTTGGTGTCTGCAGTTTGGGCTCCTGCCTGCTGTTGTGCCCCTGTACTCCTCAGGCTCAAGTAAATGGGCCTTTAATGGGCTGATGGCCCTGGGACTAACTGGGCAAGATATTCTTAGGACTCTTCCCCAACCATTGTGTCTCTGTGGTCCTTTGTGGGTGTGCAGGTGAGCTTTTATCACATAACCTAACAATCTCTCTCTCAAAAAATCCTCTCTAAGCAGACTCATTGCTTACAAATGCTATTTCAAATGTTTTCTCACCTTGCTCTGAAGAAATAAATCTATTATTTGTACCATAGCTTACAGCAAGAATACATGTATTAGGGTGTTTTGTCACAATTGAGAAAGAGGATTTTCATGTTGCTGGATTGGATTTACCCCTCCTTCACAATATTTAATGCCAATCTTGTGTCATACTTTTGGAAACATGTTTTTCTTAATGCTCTTAGCTCTTCTGCTTTGTAACAGTCTTAGGCCAACCTGATAAAAAATTCCTTTGAATTGTGTATGCATTTTGCTGTTGAAACTTTTTTTCATATTTTAAGTTGTTATATACAGATTTCTATCTGTCTGTCTAAGCAAAGAGGAGGGAGTACCTTAGACAGAGTACTTGAGAAATAAAATAAAATTCTACGTTGCTTCTGTCAAGGTACTAGGTAAAGGAAGGCTCCAATTGAAAGGAAAGGAGGATGGTTTTGAATTGTGTGGAAGATTTGGTACTTTATCTTTGGCTGAGGAACTGCTCTGTGTAGATTTAAGTGCCTTCAAATAAAACTATTTTGCAAAGAATTTTTTCTTTTATATATATTTGTACCCTAATCCCCAGCTGGAAGAATAATCCCCAGTCATGAAGCACTACTTTTGGGCGTGTTACAAAGAAGGCTTGCCTCTAAAAATCTCCAAAAATATCAATAAAGATTTAAAACATTGCTTATTTGAAAGCTGGTAAACTACCACCTCACTTTCAGGAGTCACTCAGTTATAATCTTATTATTCAAAATTTTGTATTTCTTTGAGTATTCTTTTTAAAATGAGAAGAGACACATAATATTTAGGAAGGAGCTCTGTGTTCAGTGAGAACAAGAGCAAGTAAATGTTCATTTCCAGACAAATTTCTTTTGAAGCATGTTAAATTTTGTAAGAAAGAGATGGGGGGTAGTTTGAATTCCCTGAAAATAATTTTTAGCTGTAACTCTATGTTCAAGATCTTTAGACTCTTCCATATTTTATGTGTATTATAGTTTTATTGCATTATTAACTAATAAAAATAATCATAAAAGGATTCAATTGAGCTAGTTTATAAGAGGGGACATTTTTCATTCCTGTTTTAAGATGAAACACTTCCTCTTAAAAGACAAAAAAAATTAACATTATCAAGAAATTTGGGTTATTAAAAAACCTATTTAAGCAGAATAAATATGGTGGGGTTTTTTTTCTTGAAACTAATAACTAGTAAGGATCAATTAATGTCTTTGAGAAATCTTATTTAATCAGAGCTTTTCATGTAGCTAGGATATTCAAAACATCTCCTTTCTGTGTGACCTCACAGTGTATTTTTTTTTCCTGTCGGTGATGATATAGATTTAGTTATTCTCCTGCTGCTAGATACCTTTCCTCTTCCTGTTTTTGTTAAATGAGTAGAAACATCTTATCTTTGATACATCTTTTGCCCAGAGAGGTTGTGAAGTCTCCCTCACTGGAGATATTCAAGAACTGCCTGGACACAATCCTGTGTCATGTGCTCTAGGATGACCCTGCTTGAGCAGGGAGGTTGGACGAGATGACCCACAGTGGTCCCTTTCAGCCTGACCCATTCTGTGATTCTGTGACACCCACCTCTTGAACCTATTGAATTGATTGCAATTGAGCAGAAAAAAAAATTATTACTAACTTGTGTGATAAGCAGATGGAAACAAACAGATGAAAAATATCATGTATTTAAACCTCTTGTCTTCAGAACCAGACTTAATAACAGCTCATCTACCCAACTGATGACTGTTCTTGAATATTGCTTCTGATTTTAGGTCATGGATAAATATGGTGAGTTCTATGGCCGTGACAGAATCAGTGAGTTACTAGGAATGGACAAAGCTGCTCTCGATTTTAGTGATGCTCGAGAAAAGAAGAAACCAAAGAAAGATAGCTCCTTTTCTGCTGTGTAAGCATTTACCTCCAGTTTGTTTGTGTGATTGTTTTTTGTTTCGTTGGTTGGTTTGTTCTTTTTTTTTTTGTAAGTAAAAATCAAGCATTCAAGGTTTGTCATTCAGACAAAACATATTTTTTGCTCATTTATGTGTATCTGTATAAGATAATTCTTATGTTGAATGATACAGTGAATTTATTTCATTATAGACAACATATCTACAGGATTCCTCTGTTTTTTGTTTATGAAGATTTAGTTTAGTGCACAGCTACTTGAATATTGCAACATTCCCACTGTTTTGATAGTGTCATTATGACTGGGCTGGAAACCACTTTCCACCGTTCTCTCAGTTGAGCTCTGCTGGAAAGAATGGACGAAATTGGCACTCCGTGTTCTGATTATAAAGAAATTAAGGAATAAATTTAAGTGCTAGTGAACAGTAAAATCTAGGAATTGGGTGATTAGTATTCACATCCTTTTACAATTTTTTTTCCCTAAACGGTAGATTTACTTATCATTTGAGAGACAGACATGAAGAAAAGCCCCTAGACATTCAGAGTAATAAATTTTCCTTCATAGGGCAGGGACATCCTTAGTTTTTGTAAAGCACTGCAAAAATGTTTTTTTTCCAGTTCTGTGTTATAAAAAAGGCATTCAACTAGGTAGAACATATTTTAACAGGTGGAATTTTAGTGCTACAGAGATTTTTATGTAAGAGTTTATTTATAGCTTTCTTTAAAAGCATCATTTTATCTATGGGTTTGCAAGGGTTGTGAGAAGTAGACAGACCACTGGTAGATTAGAATTGTACTGAAGCAAGGGCTGCTTTTATAAAGATGGATCTTTTATCCATCTTTAAAAAAGATAGATATTAACCCGGAGTCTAACTGGGCAGTCAATCGGGTGCAGTGATAAGACTCAAGGACTCTGGCATTTCAGTACTAAGTGAAATTTAATATTTTGCAGAATACTTTCTTACATGCTCTTTCCTGCTGCTGGATTATAGTAGAAACCATGCTTAAGTTTAGGGGGAAAAAAAAGAAAATATTACTTTTATTATTGGTATAAAACCAAAATAAAACTACTTTCCCTTCCCTGTCTGTTCATGACTCATATGAGGGAAAAAAAATTGAAATAATGCTTCTGAGAAAACAGACCAGACTGAAACAGTTGGAGAAAGCTGATGAAATACTTAATTTAAGAATAATGCCTGAAGCATGCCTGGGTTTTTTTACATTTCTTACATCTTCTCCATGTTATATATGGTTAAAAAAAATTACGACCTCATACATCTTTCATGTTCTCCCTGGAGAAATAATTCTGTACTTATAAGAGATTAATATATTGTTGGAAAATAAAGAACTATGACAGAAACTTACAGAACCATTTACATAAAAATATATGCTTTAGTAAAGTACATTTATCCACTTTTTAACAGTTTCTGAAATTAACACTAATGAACCTACTCAAATTTACACATGTTCCAGATTCAACATTTGAAATTTATTTGCAGTGCAATGAAGAGAGAGGTGGGAAAAGCCCTGGAGTTGAACCCTTACTTACTGTGATACTTTGGGAATAAAATAGAGATCCAGGTATGACCTGGATCCAGGTTACAGCTCTAGAAGTTGCTGCTTCTACATATGCCAGGAGGAGGTGGTGCAGACTGAGGCCAGACCTGGAAAAGCTGGTAGCCCATGGCTTGGACAAGTGTACCCTCTCCTGGATTAGGAGCTGGCTGGAGGGTCGGGCCCAGAGAGTGCTGGTGAATGGAGCTGCATCCAGCTGGCAGCCGGTCACCAGTGGTGTTCCCTAGGGGTCTGTGTTGGGTCCAGTCCTGTTTAACATCTTTATTGATGATTTAGATGAGGGGATTGAATCCATCATCAGCAAATTTGCTGATGACACCAAACTGGGAGGGAGTGTCGACCTGCTGGAAGGCAGGAGGGCTCTGCAGAGGGATCTGGATAGACTTGAGAGATGGGCTGATTCCAATGGGATGAAGTTCAATAAAGCCAAGTGCCGGGTCCTGCACTTTGGCCACAACAACCCCCTGCAGCGCTACAGGCTGGGCACAGAGTGGCTGGAAAGCAGCCAGGCAGAAAGGGACCTGGGGGTACTAATTGACAGGAAGCTCAACATGAGCCAACAGTGTGCCCAGGTGGCCAAGAAGGCCAATGGGATCTTGTCCTGTATCAAAAATAGCGTGGCCAGCAGGAGCAGGGAAGTGATCCTTCCCCTGTACTCTGCGTTGGTGAGGCCACACCTTGAGTATTGTGTTCAGTTCTGGGCCCCTCAGTTCAGAAAGGATATTGAGGTGCTGGAGCGGGTCCAGAGAAGAGCAACAAGGCTGGTGAAGGGACTGGAGCATAAGTCCTATGGGGAGAGGCTGAGGGAGCTGGGGTTGTTTAGCCTGGAGAATAGGAGGCTCAGAGGTGACCTCATCACCGTCTATAACTACCTGAAGGGAAGTTCTAGCCAGGTGGGGGTTGGTCTCTTCTCTCAGGCACTCAGCAATAGGACAAGGGGGCACGGGCTTAAGCTCCGCCAGGGGAAATTTAAGTTGGATATCAGGAGAAAATTCTTTACAGAGAGAGTAATCAGGCATTGGAATGGGCTGCCCAGAGAGGTGGTGGATTCACCATCCCTGGAGATTTTTAAACGCAGATTGGACGTGGCACTGAGTGCCATGATCTAGTAAATGGACTGGATTTGGACCAAGGGTTGGACTCGATGATCTCGGAGGTCTTTTCCAACCCAATCGATTCTATGATTCTATGATTCTATGATTCTATGATACCCGTGTCACCCACAACACAGAAGAGAATTGCAGTGTGTAGCATTTTCATTCCCCATACAAGTGAACAGGTTTTTCTTCCGTCTCCTTGACCCCTAGTTCCTACGGCTTCTCCCTTTTTCCTTTGGGAAAATAGCCTGGGATTCCCATCCGTCTTTCTGCAAGGGACTTAAAGCACTCTACTTGCAGGCGACCATGATTCGTCAGAAGCTCCTGCCCATCCTATTGATATACTGCGTTAAAAAAATCCACGGTGTACTGACTCTGGAAGAGCCATCCAGCTAATGGATGCAGTCTTGAGTATTTTTAAAGTATATTTATTCAAATATATAAATATGTATTTAAATATATAAATAATTATTTCAATATATTTTAGTATTATTTAAATATAGCCAACTAAGGAGTTGGAGCAGTAAAGTTGGAGCTCTGCTGTGGAGTAGACAGAAAAGACAGTTAAATTTTGCGCACTGAGCTTGAGACAGCGGTGCTGTTTTTCCATTAATTTAGTTGCTTTTTTGGATGGTGTTAAACTAGATGCGTGGTGGATGAAGTATATTTGGGAGAATAATATGGAAACCACAAACATGAAAGTTAATTATCATACGTGCCATTGTGAGTATTACCTCCCTGTCCCTTTACCTTTCTAACTGCTGTTGTTTCTGTGGTCTTTAGTCTAGTCAGGGTCAGTACAAGAGGCAGATAAGGCTTAAACATCTGCAGCAAGCAGTGACATAAGGCTAATTTGGGGGGAAAATAAGTGGGGCTTCTATAAAATGCTTACATGGTAGAAGAATTCTTCCACTTTCAAGAGTAGAGAAAATGTAAGTAATTTTCTCCTGGAAGATCTAAAGTTTTCATAGGTTGGTGAGAAGTTAAACCATATCATAAATGTGAAGTGTACAAAGAATGAGGGCAGCTGGCCTCATAATGTGAAAGAAGTTAAAAGGTCTTATTCTTCTTTGTCATAAGAAACAATAACCTGGGTTTTCAAAAGATTCTGGACTGGGTTACTTCATTGTTAGTAATATAGTATCTTGGAGAACAATGTTGTCTCTGGAAAACTAGTAGACTTCCCTCAGATGACGGTCTGCCTCTTGCCCATAACGGCTAGTGAAAAAGTAAGGAATTTTATCTGCAGTAGTTTTTACAATTGGAATCTCAAGATTTATACCTGCTATAGTGTCACTCTGGGGTTAACAATGTTGAGGGAAGAAGTCAAATAAAAATACATTGACTGAAATTCATCCAATACTAACTAATGATGTTCCAAAGGAAATTTGAAACCAGACATTACTTTTTAATTCACAACTGTAGAGCTTAAGTTTTATATGACATCATATTCTTTAAAGTCTTTGAGCTACTTGATCAAGGTAGTGAGCATAAATAAATAGGAAAATGCAGTATTATGCATATTATTATTGCTTTGCTATTCAGATCAGACTTCTTTTAAAAAATAATGATATAAAAAATTAACCTTTTTTCATATAGGTCAATATTCACATTATTTTTAGGACCTCTAAAGCTATTGCTATTTGTAAACTATAAAATCATCAAATTAAATTGACTAGAGATGAGCTCCCTGGTGTTGGGAGGGTGGTTTTCATGTCATGAGATAGTATCCTGCTTGTCCATAAGCAGTTCTGTCCATCACGTTTCATACATAACACAAATAGAATTATGAATAGGTGGACTGTAATAACAAGAATATGCTTGACATTAGGAATGAGTGGTATTGGGTCAGAATAAAGTAAGAGGTTCACTTGCTACAATAATATTTTCAGAAATAAATACCAAGTTTTTTTGCATTTTTTTATCATCTGATTATGCTATTTAACAAAATTTGAATGAGAAACTCTTCTTAACATTGATTGAATGCTGTTTTTCAATTACAGTAGCTCCACTTATATATATATATATATATGGTGCTTATACTATTACACAAGAGTAAAAAGACTGTAAAAGACTGGAATCTTTTGCTTCTAATTTGTATCCGTAAAAATGGTGGGGTTTTTTTTGTTTTATTAAAGATTAAATACTGTTGCATGTAATACAAGAAGGAATTCGGTACTTCAGTTGCAAAGAGTTCCTTGAGAGTGTAATATTCAAATAAAACTATTATTTTTATGTGGTCGGTGACTCTGGCTATACAGGTAAGAATTTTGGAAAACAGATAGACAAGGATTTAACTCTTGGTATTTCATCTAAGACCTCAGGTGAACATCTGGCACAGAAGGCAGCTGTGTGACATCTGCCAGCAGTGTTTCTACTTGCTTAGTCATTGTCAGGAGCTCATCTCTTTCAGAAGCATTGAATCACTCACATTTTAAGGATAAAAGTAGGACAGATGACATTTTTTATTCTATTACTTGTATATGTTCTTCAATTGTGATCCAGGTTTAGAATTTTTTTGTGTCGCTATAATACAGATGATCCAAACCTTTTCTAAAAGAAAATATCAAAAACTAAAGAGGACAGGATACAGTTAATAGCAAAAATGGTATACATCTTGTTTGTTAAGTTAGTTGTCATGGCTAGGCTTCGCGAACGAAGATTTGGGAAGGCTCTATCCACATTTGCTACAGGCACGCTGGTGGCTTATGAGGCCAATACGTGACAGACATATCCGATTACAAAAGGCACAGCAGAAAGACTCCTTAGATGGTGTATTCTGCAAGACACGGTTCTTTCTGCGTTGCCTTTTTTCCTCAAGAGTGATCCTGCGAGTGTTCTCGAAGGAGACAGCAGCGTTATAGATGGTGTGTCTCCAGGCCTCCCGATTTGAGGCCAGAGTAGACCAGTTATGTTGATCAATATGGCCAAGGCTGAGATGTTGTAAGTTAGTTGTATCACTTCTCTATAGAGGGACAAAAAAAGAAAAAAAAAAAATTATTTGTGCTATTAGGAGTAAGCAGAGAATAATACCTAAAGGTATTAATTAAAGGAATACAAGGGAAAAATTTTGAGAACATGGTTTACATTATTAGTCTATACAATATAAAAGTTTATTCAAGAGAGGAGAGCGGTAGAAAAGGGTAACTGGCTAATATAACAAAACAACAAATGCTGTGGAAGAAACTGGGAGCCCAGCAACCCCAGTGTGGCCTCACCACTGCTGAGTTAGAGGAGAAGGATCACCTCCCTTGACCTGCTGGCAATGCAACTCCTCCTGGAGGACAGGGTACCATTAGCCTTTTTTGCAGTGAGGGTGCATTGCTGACTTAGGTTCAACTTGCAGTCCACCAGAGCCTCAGGTCCTTTTCTGCAAAAGCTTTCAGTATATATCTCCTTTTTATTCACATTTATTCCTGAATAAATAAGTGGCAAAAGCAAAGGAAAAAAACTCTGAGATTCATTTGACTTAAATTTGTCTGTCTTTAATATCATCTAATTGTGTCACCCAAGGTAGGCTATCATAACTCAGGTAAAGAATTGACATTTTGTGGGGCAAATTCTGTGACCTTTTTTGACAGCTACTTTAGGCTTGGATGGGTTCCCTTAAAATAAAGTACAATCTCTTTTTCTCCCTGGGTTATAAAGACAGTTCATTTCACTTGCATGTATGTGCTAACATTGTAGAAATCAATCAGCATTAGGTCTGATGAATCCAAAACAGTATTTATGAATTCAATTTTCAGAATTATTTTTTTTGACAGATCCATTCCAGGGTAAAAGTGTGAATTAGAACAAGGTTCTGATATATTTCAGCTTTGGAGAAATAGATCAGCTGTTGCCTCCTCTTGTGTGATAATGCACTTTCTACAGATTGTGTTGCGTATTTTCTGATTGTGCAATTTTATTATGTATTTTTACAGGCTGAATTCCATTGATGTGAAGTATCAGATGTGGAAATTAGGAGTTGTTTTCACTGATAATGTAAGTTTCTCAGTATATACATATATGCCTTTTCATTTTCTAAAAAGCAATATACACTTGCTAACACACAGAGTTTCAATGGGAGGTATGAAATACTCTGGATTATACTTATTTTACTACATGAAGAAAATCTTGGAAACTTAAAAAGACATTGTCAAAATATTTTCACAGTAACATTGGTAGTAGACTATAGAACCTCAGCCAGTTCCTGCCCCCCTTCTGATAAACTTTATTAGAAGCAATAAACAAACACTGCATTATACAATTAGAAAACTGACTATATAAATGCTAATTGCCATTTCTCGTATTGTTCATAAATTTTATGAACACTTGAATATTCCTGGAGTACAGTCAGATCAGTATAGTTAATGTATCTGAAATTGCTAAATTTGTATCACTGAGACTGATAGTAAGATGTGCCATCAGTTGGCAGATTATTTTAATAATTTAAAAAAGGGAATCTGGTTTGATTGTTAAGTATTATGATTATTGCTTGCCTAACATCTTATTTTGTTGGTCAGAAAGATGATTGGGGGAAAAAAACAATTTTGGAACTAGGATTGACGGAGAATGAGAGTGTAATCAGACTGTACTCAGGAAAAGTGAACAATAAAGTCTCCAAGTCTAGAGACAGAATGATCTGTAAACAGTTAGTGTTTGTTTTTTTCCTAAGGAACAGACTGTAATTTCTTTTATAAATATGTACTTGTCTTTAAATCCAATAAAAATTAATTGATAGAGGAAAAGATGAAGTTTACATTTGTGGTAATAGTAAACTACTTAAGTAATATTTATATGTTTAAAATTTCTTTTGTTCTTGCAGAGTCCTATCATTTGTCATTAACTACCTTAGAGCAGAAATATTTTAATTTAATTATTTAGAAATTATTAAAAAATAATTTAAATCAGAAAAACATTTTTGCAGTAGAAACAATTAAAAATAAGGGTTTAACAATTTCAAAATGAGTTTTTAGAATTTTAATTTAGAATTTCTTAATTTTACCCATGTCTTTTGGACTCTGTATTTGAGTATTTAATATTTTTGCACAAAGAGAAAATTCTCAAGGATCTCTAGAAAATTCTATGTTAAAAAAGAACTGTTTTCTATTTAAAGAAGAGCACATTTGAGAAAATTCTACCTTTCGTTAGTGTTTTGAATTAAGTTAAAGATGAAAACTATGAGTTTTATTTTGAATATACTTGTTTTTTCTGTTAGTCTTTCCTTTACCTAGCGTGGTACATGACCATGTCAGTCCTTGGTCATTACAACAATTTTTTCTTTGCTGCTCATCTCCTTGACATTGCAATGGGATTCAAGACATTACGAACTATCCTGTCATCAGTGACCCACAATGGCAAACAGGTATCAACTTCATCTCCTTTCAGCTTTATTACTTAAGGAGTATATAGGGAAGATCACTTCATGACTTAATTCAGGTGCTCTGCAGATTGACGACAGAATTGTTCTTTTATCATGAACTCTAGAACTTGAAGTGGTGAGGAAACTAGCCAATGGGGTTTATAATCATAAGAAAACAGTACTGGGATGTATGACAGTTTCTAACTGTTATGAGCGACGTTGCTATTTAAATTCTTTTCAGGATTCATCTAAAGAAATGTCCGCTTGAGATCCAATTACTCATCTATTAGAGGACTGTTTGAGAAACTCAGCTCTCGGATGTTAAGAAATCTTTTCCAAGAAACTATAGAATCTGGAATTGCATTTCTGGTTTAAGTAAAAAAAAAAATTAACTAAGGCATTTCATCTGCTGAGATCTACTGTAGAAATGGCATTTAATGTAACTTGAGACTAGGTGTTCCTCAGGGCTGATGGCCTTACCATTTCATAGGAATTTTGTAAACAATTTCGAATTATGAAAAAGCCATCCTTGATCTGATCAGAAGATCTTCCAGCAAGGCAGCTAATATAATTCTTATTCAAGTGAGCTGGGAATGATAACATAAAGGTTTTCTCTGTTGTGTATACATGCTGTTGTAATAAGACAAAACTTCAGTTCTGACTTTATAAAATGTGGGTGCTTTAGAAGTCTTGTAAAAAGTGTCATTTCTAAATTTATCAGTAGCAAGTTATTTTTCATGTTTTTTAATTTTATTCCCTTTTATTTTAAGCAAGTTTGATACTAAAAAAAAATAAAATCATTAGCAATTTTTTTTTTAATGCAGAGGATGATTGTTTTAATTTAATTCTGTCTTCAAATGCACTGTCCTTGTCAACGTTTTTAAGAAGTAATACACATTTAAATGGACACAGTTTATATTTCAAAATAGCTAGTGAAGCACATGATGTATAGAAGACTTAAGTATGAACTCACTGTATAAACAGTATAAATTGTTGTTTTGATTTATGTGACAAACTTCAGTTGCATTTGCAGAATAAAAATTGCGTTTTGAAAAAGTTACAACAATCAACACACTGCATTCATTCCATATTAAAGAACAGATTTTCTTAAATTCTTTGTTCAGATTTCTTAAAAGAACAAAAAAGCAAAACAAATCAAACTGCACCTAAAAAAAGTGAAGTATTTTACCTATTTAAAATAGTCCTGAAGTTTTAGCAAATTACCTATAAAGTAAGGGAGCATTATTTGTGAAAAAGAACTTTTTAGGTCTGGGAGCTACACAAGAGAAGTATCAGTTTATAGGATGCTGAAGTTCCCTTCCACCTGCTTTCCATAAAGCTCAAAGTGAAATCTGAATGATGCTGCATATGAGCAGTGTGGTCCTTGCTGCTGCTTTTCTGAGGTAGATATTAAAATACTAGGAACCGTTTGGTTTATATGTGATTTTGTAGATGTAAAAAAATTTTTTCCATATTAAATTAGTTGAAATACTGAATTGCAATTATATAATAGGTTATATCCATTCTATAATTTTGTCTTCCAGCTTGTCCTAACAGTGGGATTACTGGCAGTAGTAGTATACTTGTATACAGTGGTGGCATTCAATTTTTTCCGCAAGTTCTATAATAAGAGTGAAGATGGTGATATGCCGGACATGAAATGTGATGATATGCTAACAGTAAGTCTTATTTTGCTTTCTGGATTTTTTCTTAAAATGTTTTGCTTTTTCCTGACCTTCTGTAATTCCTATTCATACAGTTGTATCATTAGCCACCAAGCGGGAAAGTTTATAATTGAAGGCAAAGGAACAAATGTAATGAACATCCCTAGCAACTAGCATGTGCTAAATGAACATCCATAGTAACTGTGTGTGCTAAACAAACACATCTATAAAGGAACAGAAGAAATGTGATACTATACTTTGCTGTGGTTTCTCAGAAAACTCAAACCAACTGTAAGCTGCAAAGCTGGGCTGAACTGTTAAAGGACTGTACTTCTAAACCTTGTGATTCTAGAGGCCATTCAGGGAAGAGAGTCAGTTATAGGCAAGGACTTTCATAAGTAATGCAGGTACCAAAATGCTTGTTTAAGCTTGGAAATCCATCAGTTTATCTTAGCATGAGTTGCCATGATTATCTTCAATGGGTAATTCTGTTACTGAAACCTCTCATGTGCCCAGAAGCGCTGAAAATTATTTTGTACTTACTGGGACAGTGCCAGGCTTTGGAGTTGTGGATGGTAGGTAAAGTAGAGCTTAGACCATAAAGAATTTCTAAGAGGCCTTGTACTTAATATCCCTGTAAAAGCAATCATGTACAACAATGTTAAATATATTTCAGTATGTTATGCAATATGAATCACTTCCAGGGAGTCAACAACATTTAAAAACTGAATGAATAGATCAACTATTGAAGCAGAATAGTACATCTATATTTTTGGTTTGGGACATTCAGTACAATGAAAATATAGATAAACTGGAGCATAACTCAATGGAGGCCTATTAAATTTTCAGGTGCTGGAGCACTTGCCGTGGAAAGAGAGACTGAGGGAATTGGGCTTGTTTGGGCTGGAGAAGAGAAAGCTTCAGGGTGGAGTGGAGTGTAAGAGCAGCTCCCAGTGCCTGCACAGGGTTTATTGGAAAAAGAAGTTCAGACTCTTAATGGGAAGTGCATGGCAGAAGACCATGAACATAAAGTGGGAAAATATGTTCTGACTGAAGTGAGCCAAGCAATGGATCTGATTGCTCAGAGAGATTATAACATCCTCGGGAGGCTGTAATGACCTGACTGTATAAAGCCCAGAGCAATTTTGTCTGACATTATAGTGGACCCTTCTTGGTGAAGACTTCATGAAGTCCTTCTGACCTGACCTACTCTGTAATGCTCTGAAAATACACAGATCTAAAGGCCATAGTATTGTACAGGAACGAGTTAGAATAACATGTGATATGCTATAAAATCAGGGTTGTCTTTTGTAAAAACAGTAAGATTTGCATTGGGATGTTAAAAAAAAAAAAGTAGAGAGAATATATAATTATTTTAAAAATAGAAAAATAATTTTTAAAACTTTTAAAATAATTAACGCTATGTGTGCTCATTAAGTTAATTATTACCTTTCAGTGGTGGAATATAAACTATCTCTAGAAATTGTTGGATTTTTCAGCCAATGGTTGCTTAGTATTGCATGTTACTATATCAATTTCTTACGTAATGGATTTTGAGGATAGTGTGGCATAGAAATAAAAGAATGGATTTTTTGTTTGATTAGGTTTTAGGAGTTAGTTATTGTCATTACTATTTTTTGATCACGAGTGAGAACCCTGGACCTGTAGTTTGCAAACGTACTTAAAGCAAAAGAACCAATCCCCTCCTCTACACCTCTAGAGAGTGATATCATAATTTTTTATAAAATTATAATGCGATAAACTGGAAATTTTGTATTAGCATCCCACATCATAACTATACTGAGAGACCTATTATACCGTTTTTCAGATGATAGTTTCACAATATTCTCAGATATTTTCAGTCATTAGCCTGTTATCTGTACAAGCATTCACAAAAATTTTTTGTTTGGTTGGGTTTTTTGGTTTTGTTTTAGGTTGGGAGTTTTTGTTTGTTTGTTTTTAAATTTGTGTTTGAAACACCAAAACCAGGGAAATTTATTCACTTTTGAGCTAGGAACTTAGAAAAGGAGATGGCTGTCGTGGTGGTGATATTTTCTAATTGTATATTGCTGAAATTATTTTACATGAATCACGGAGTGCTGCTAGACTTCTGGTAGTTGAACTTTTGAACTTATTGAACTGCTACATAATGACAGAACATGAAATACTGCAGCTTCAGCTGCACAGCAGCATTTCACCTCCCTCAGAAATATGCATAACCTTAAAGGAGAGAAAAAGATGACTTGACATGGTATAGTTCCTAGAACACAGACAAGTTCTACCAGTTACTGAATTTGTAACAGTGGGTATTTTTACTTTTAGCTGCAGACAAATTTTGTATCCCTTTGTTTTGTGTTTTCTAGTGCTACATGTTTCATATGTATGTTGGAGTACGTGCAGGTGGAGGCATTGGTGATGAAATAGAGGATCCAGCAGGAGATGAATATGAAATCTATCGGATTATCTTTGACATCACTTTCTTCTTCTTTGTGATTGTCATCTTGCTTGCAATTATCCAAGGTATATGCAACCTGTGGTGAGATTATTTAGCAGTACAAAGATCTTAATCCTATGGTAATCCCACACCTAAGATTCATAGAGGACATCAGGGCAGATCATGAAGGACAGATTTATTTGGTAAATCACACCCAGCTGACTTTTGTCCATATGCTACTCTTTTGAGTCTCTGTAAAATCAATGATCTCTAACTGGATCAATGGAAAAAACGTAAATATTTTGCTCTAAGAATACTGGTGTTCACTGCAGTTTCTGTCTTCTCATTGCTCTTTCTAAAAGTCTCCTATAAATCAGCAAGAGGAGTGATTAGAAATCTTGTGACACAATTTATAATCTTCTTTCAGTGTAACCCATACATGGACAAAATCAGTAGCAGATGCTGTCAGTATTCCCGCTGCCAACATCTAATCTTCTTGACTGACAAATCTTCAGATTGGTAGTAGTGGTGTGAAAATGGGAGCATAGCTTTAAGAGGTTTAATCTTGTCTTACATAAAAACAGCTGGTTTTTGTGATGCCTGCTTACTTGGACAGTGTCAAAGAGTAAAGAAAGCTGCTTGATATGAAACAGCTTTAGTATAGCCTGGATAATGACAATGGAAAGTTAGCTGCCATTAGGTTAGCTTTGGAATTTCAGTGAAACTATTTGACTCATAGTGTGTCTTGCTGTTGTAATCTGGATAGTGGATACTTAATTTTGGCATGTCAGGGGTTTTTCTATTATGCATGCAATAACCATGTTAAATGTTATTATCTAAAGTACTTAAGACCACGTCTGTTTACATATTATACCTTCAAAATATTGTCAAGAATGCCCAGAGGGTCATTTTCAATTAAAATTTTCACAAATTAATAGAAGTATATTCTCAGTTTTGGAAAAGCAGATAAAGATTTTTGCTAGGTCCACTTGCTGTTGTAAATACTGATACACCATTGCTTTCTGTCACCTAACAGCTAACTGATGGTAATTTTGACAGCACTAAGGGTGCTTTCTCACTTACTACAAGGAAATTCAGAAGGCAAATTTGAGCTTGTGGTAAATTGTTTATTACTTTTAATCAAGCAACAATTTTTTTAAAGGGCTTGAGGAGGTGCCAGATGTTTTTGTAGCCTGGTGATGTATCTCATACTGTTTGTTTCTTCATTTTGTGAGTGACTGGAAAATAGTGGCCTTAACTGTCAATCTTTGAGTACGTATCGTCGCTAAGGATTGTGGAGTTAGTCCTTATTTGTACTGGAGTAAGTGAAGGGAAGATCATAAAGAATTTATAATTTTAGCCATAGAACCTGTGGTTCTTTTTCTTCTTTCTCTATCTCCCTGAAATGACCCTTACCTCTGTATAACTCTGACAGTGGAACCTCGTACTACATGATTGCCATAATGAGAGAGGATGCACAGAACTCTGGGCCTCTCTGCATCTCCTGTGTAATAAATTCCTGAACTCTGTTAGTACAGTACTATTCTATAGTAAGGCCTTTGTCACTGTAAAACTATGTCTTACTGTACTGAGTCAAGATTATAGCACTGTGAATAAAACAGAAGTCTGCTTGTCCTGTTTGATAATTCAAAATGGTACTGCCAGTCATGTTACTGCTAGCCATTTTCTTTGGCTTGCTCATTTTAATTTATGTATTAAGCTGTTTTTGTTGGCTTTGGAATGTATATTGGCTTCTATTACTTCTGCATAAAATTCTCATTTAATATTCTTTGTCAGTTATATTATCCCTAGATTTCCAAATAATCTTTGTCACAGTTCTTGAACATTAACTATCTAATCAACTAAAAAATTTTAACTTAAACCCTAGGTTTAATTATTGATGCTTTTGGTGAGTTAAGAGATCAACAAGAGCAAGTTAAGGAAGACATGGAGGTAAGAACATCTAGTTGCTGAACCATACCTATTTTCAGGTTTCATGAATATCTGTTTTCAATTAAAATGTGATCTAGTTTTAGTGGATAGCTTTTTAAACTAAGAGGAAAATACAGTTCTGTACATGGTCCGATATTGTACAATGTATATTATAATGAATTGCAGGTATGTGACTGTTCAAGTCTTTTGGAATCTTCAAATTAGAGGTTTCTAGTAGAGGTATTAACACTGTCACGTTACATTTCATCTCACCTCAGATGTAATTTTCTTTGATTAATCTGTATGTGAAAGTATCCTGTACTTCGTGGTTTTCTATTCTGTCATTGAAATATAAACGTAAGAACTCGGAAAAGTGTTGCAAAGCTACTGCGTTTTGTCATCTGAATTTTGAGCTTATTCAGTTTCAGGTGGACAAAAACAACAGGCTTTGAGGTAAATATTGCCATGTGTTACAGTAAGTGCTACTTAGTGTTAAAAAGTCAGCTGTGGCTATTGTATGTCATTCTGTCTCCTGATACCTGTTCACTTAGAGCTGGCAAAGATTTTATTTTTTTTTAACAATAAGTAGCTACTCTGCTGGTAGTTAAGCTTCTATTCAAGTGTTTTGGTTGAGGTATCCAGCTTCAGTCATTAAAAGAAAAGCCTTTTTGTTCAGCACATATTATATATGATGCATTGTCATTTTCAAGAAAAATTGTTACATTGGCCTTTTCTCAAAGCAGGGCAAGGGTTATATATAATGTTGAAGTGCTCTGTATGCTTTCTTTTAGACAAAGTGCTTTATCTGTGGAATAGGAAATGACTACTTTGATACAGTGCCCCATGGCTTTGAAACACACACACTACAGGAGCACAACTTGGCCAATTATTTGTAAGTACAGTAAAAATGAACTCCTCACTAACTCATGGCCCTTGCAGCCTCTGCAGGTACCTGATTAACTCTCTTGCATAAGTAAGAGTCAGTACTGTTTAACTTTGACGTGCACTCATGCTGTCTGAATATATAGTTCTGTGGCAATGGCAGCAAGGAATGAACAAATTTCAAATCCTTCTTTCCAGTTTGGTTGTGGCACACCAAGTTTGTGTGAGCTTGTAGATAGAAACCAGGAACTTGGTATTTGGCTGTGGAGGCATTGTAAAATTGAATGTGGTGTGTAGGGTAGAGAGGAGCAGTATGACCTAGTCTGAAGACTCATGGAGAGAGGAGCAAGGAACAAAGGAGTGAGGGAAGGGGGGGAAATCTTACATTGGACTAGATATGTTGAGGCTGAGGCTGACTAAGAAAACCCAGGGAAAAGGGAGGTAAGGGAACTGGAATGAGCTAGAGACAGGAGAGATCAACCAAGGGCATCGGGTCTGCCTTTGGAAATCCAAGCAGAGCACCAGTGACCACTAAACTCAGTCTTTTTATATCTAAAAATAAAGGCAATTATTAGTTCTACAACCACTGTATCATTTCCTCTCACATATGAAGATCCAGTGACTGAGTGTATTTTATACTAATGCTGTCACTATGCAGGGAATGGATTGTAACAAACAAAATACATTAAAAGTGCCATTGTGTAGGATTTTGTTCCTACTTAATAAATTCCGCCCAAATAACATAATATAGCATACTTTTCAGTCCATCATCCTGTGGAACTGGGTTTTTATCTTTTTGTGCATGATCATATTTTATGTTTTTATATATGTTCAGAGAGAATGTCTATTATAAGCAAAATTTTGAAAGTATCACCTAATGAATGTCAGCCATCTCAAACCCCCAAGACTAATGTGGTTCTTTTTAAATTCAAGTTCTTTTATGCTCATGTTGATCTTCCATTGCATACACTAGTAAAATGTCCTGAACCTATAATTTCAGTAAGAGAAATCTCTTAGACATATTCAGCATTTCTTATTCATTGTGTGAAGAGGAAAAAGAGAAAGTTCCAATGACCATTTTGTCTGCTTCCCAGTGGGTTTTCATGGGCAAGAAAATGTCTATTGTAATTTTCAGATTAGAAAGCTTAGAAAATCTTCCTTTAAGCTAACAACAGAGTTAGCAAACTCTGTTGCTAACTACACTAAATCAAACTGAATCTCCTGTATTTTAGCATACTGCTCATTCAAAAATGACTGAATGTCAACAGTGTCAGGAAAGTGTGTTTAATCTGTCTCAGAATATTATCATAAATAGAACTGTGGAATTTGTAAGTCCGTGAACAGCATTATCACTCTACATTCTGAAAAATATCCATCTCCCTGCAGATTGCCTAATGTTTCCAAATTCTATATTCATAGAGTCTCTTTCTTTGCTTGTAGGTTTTTTCTGATGTATCTTATTAACAAAGATGAAACAGAGCATACAGGACAGGTAGGTTGAACAACTCTATAAATGTCAATGGTTATTAAATAAGATTGATTCTAAAATAAAAATTGTTCAGGCTTGGAAAAACTAAGAGTTTTCTAATGAATAGCTCTCTATATGGTATGGAACTTAATTCTTATTCTTCTAAGCAATTCTTAGGACTTTGGTTGCTTAATGTTAGTTGAGTGTCAATTCTGCAGCACTTTCTTTTCCTGTGTTGTTATCTGACCTGTTATTCTTAAGTTGTTACTTCAACAAAATATAAATACACACTGTAAACAAAAATAATGGGAAACAGAACATTTAAACATCCTTGTGAAAGCAGCACTCATCACATCTCCTTGTTGATTTTTTCAATAGTCTTTGTCTTTTATTATTATCATCTATATATAATCTTCCATGTCTACATTTCTGAATAAGTCCATATGACAGAACTTGTGCCTATATTTAAAATGAAACCTATGAGACGTTTTCCCTAGAGGTTTCTTCTTTTATGCTGTTCTTTCAACCTTCTGATACTTCCTTCGGTTTCCTTGAAGTATACTGAAAGTCAGTAAAAAAATGTATCAAATTTACAGACTACTGTTTTGGTCTTTTTTCCTAGTGAGAGTCTTTCAGCTGACTAAGCAAATGTTCCTGTGTTACAGATCGAAAACCAAAAGAACTGAATAGTATCATATACATAGCCCTAGAGATTTGGGTCAAAGGGATAATTTGCTGTAAATCTGTGTAGTTAACGCTTTCTGAATTCTGATGTATGTGCTATAATCGTCTTCTTTTATTGGCATGCAGTGTCCTATTGTATTCACTGAAGACAGATTTCTTCTAACTATTCATTTTTTATAATGTTTGATACAGTTTGGAAACTGAGAGTAGTTCATAATACATAATTTCTACCACATGGTTTAGCAGTGGACTTGGCACTTCTAGGTTTATGACTGGATTCAATGATCTTAAAGGTCTTTTTCAACCTAAATGATTGTATGGTTTTGTAACTTGTGTAGCACTTGCCCTTTCTACCATGGAATTTATGTAATAAGAAGCCCATTTAAGTGTTGTGATTATAATGGAAATAAACTGACATATCCTTTAGTGTTCTCTGGGCTGTCTAGAGACAGAACCTTACCTGAACAAATAATCAGAAAGGGAAAAGAAACCAAAATGCCACTGACTCAGAAAATACTACTCTTCTAAAAAGTACCTTTAAAGGTCATTTTGGTTTATATATTGTTTGTAGACATGTTTTGAAATTACTGATTCAGAAATTCAGTCTATTTTCTCTGACAGAAAATATTCTGCTTACCTTGGTATTTATCTTGTGACCAGCTTTAATTGAGCTTTGCAGTGCTCCTGGGTGTGCAAAAAGGACTAAACTACCTGATTCTCTTCTATGCATTTCTATAGTGCTTCTTGACTAGGGAAGAAGCCTTAAAAGTTATTCTAAACTGATCAAAGTAATTAAAATTAATGTGTAGATTGATATGCAACAACCTGGCATACACAGAATCAAAAAAAGTGGTATATAAATAAAAGAGAAAAAATTAGTAGTTGGTACTTTCTCATTAAATCAAGTTAAATTATTTAAATTGTGTTTCTTTCAGGAATCATATGTATGGAAAATGTACCAGGAACGGTGCTGGGAGTTCTTCCCTGCTGGTGATTGCTTCCGAAAACAATATGAAGATCAGCTCAACTAAGCAGAGATGAGGTTTTCTGGATGAAAATGTCCATGTATTTCCCAGCTCTTTTGGGAATATCTAACAGATTTCTTAAATCCCCAAAGCTGTGTGCATTTTGGAGCACCAAAGCTCTGTTTTTAATGACCCAACTGCGCTTTTATTTTCTTGTGTATTTGCTTTGAGAACACTGGAGTAAAGAACAACGAAAAATTACAGCAACTCTGGAAACAAACCAACCACTTGCACAGACAAGATGTCCCTATACATAACATGCACACACAAGTTGAGACTTGAGACAGCTTATTTCTGAAACTGCCAGATGATGCCCTTGTCTCTAAGATCACATATAGGGTGACACGGTAGCAACACTCATTCAGTCTGTTTATTTCATCATCCTGGAAGGAACTATATGTAGTTCACAGAGCACTGTAAAAGATTGTTGTGGACACTAAGTTGTGGGGAAATAGTGCCTTACTATATGTGGGTTGAGCTATGCAGAAGATGAGTGCATGATGACATCTTTTTTTTTTTTTCTTTATGTCTTCCCTTTCTTCCAAGTTAATATTTATTTTGTGGTTTTTGTGGGTTTGGGAGGAAGGGATTTGATTGTGCACATCTTTTTAATAAGACTGGAGTGTCTCAGGACAAGATTAGGTTATTCTCATCAGGTTCATTTCACATTTACCTTCCTCTTTAGCTTTTGCTCTTATTTTGGTAATGCTCTGATACAACACTGCTACTTTATGAAATCTTTGTACAAATACAAGAGAGCTGCAAAAAAACACTTTAACAAGAACTGTTTCATTGCATGTTTATTATGCAAGTTTAAAACAATCAAAAAACCAACCTTCAGAAACGAGTTGATCAACATGAAAAAAACATTCACAATAATTATATCCATAGTAATAAAGTGTTGTGGGCTTTATTGTACACCTGGAAAAAGTGTCATCAACCAACAATGTATATGTTATGAATTTGACAGTAATTTTGGTTTCTTTTTTTCTTTCTTTCATTTTTGCCACCTGTGATCGATCGTGGAGTTGAAGATTTTCTTGTTAAATTATTTTTTAAAAGCAAAGCTGAAGCAATATCCATTCAGGGACTCCATCAGTTGCATCATGAAACACCAATGATGTGTACATTTCTCCATTTTGAGTCCTTTTCAATTGTAATGCCAGTCTTTACAAATAAAAAGAGACATTCAGAATGGAAAAAACCTGGTTTTGGTAGCATTTGAGGTCTTTGTTATGGAGTCTTTTTATTGATCCTTGAATTAATTACAACCACTTCAAAACAAGATTAAGCTACTGTGTACTCAATGAAAGGTTCTGGTATTGGTTTGTTTTGTTTTTTTTGTTTTTTTTTTTTTTCCTGACTTCTTGCTGTTCTGTTTCCCCACCTCATTTCTTTACCAGTCATAGTTTTGTCATAAATGGTCTGTATCAGTATTCAATTATAACTAAAAAAAAAAAAAAACTAAAGAAATAATAATTTAAAAATAGTAACTCTATATTCTTAAAAGCCAAACTTTCAGTTCAGCAGACTGTGAATATTGCTGAAATTGGTATCCTGTTGAGGATTTTGGTAAAATTCTCTCAAATTCTGCAAGAACTAAGGCTGGACAGGCTGGTGACAGTGGAAGGGGCAGGTGTAACAACTACATTTATATTCACCCACACACAGTCTGTGTTCTGGATGTTCCGGATTTGGAACAACTTCATAAAACACCTTTCATCAGCCTTTCTGGGTTTTGTTTATAAGATTTAGAAATGTGGGATTGAAATTATATTTCTTTTTGGGTGTACAACATGAGAATAGTTGTTGTTTGACATTCTGTAGAGAAATATGTAGCTAATGATTCCGATGGATATTTCAAGATTCCTTTGTCTTGAAAACAAATTCAAGTGGCCTTTTTAGGTAAATACTGGAATAAAAGTGACATGTTTCTTTAACCTCAATTTCCAAGTCACAAAACTGCTGGGGCATCCTTGCTGTTGAATCCAGCGTGCTGTTTAACAAACATCCGTGAAGCCACACTTAAACAGAAAGTTTTTGCATCACCATAAAATCAGTAGCTTTCATCCTAAAAAACTCTAATGTTTAAGTATGAAAAATCTTCATTTGTTAAATTAATTGTAGCTTTCACAGAAGAAAATTCCTACAGCTAGGAAATGGTTTATGAGAGTTTACAAGATTAGTGTTCAGAGAGTTTTAAAAATAATGTGAACTGGCTTTGGCAGCCCTTCAGATCCCTGTTCATGCAGTCCCCTCTGCAGTGGCTGTAGGCTTTCTGTGAGTCCCTGAAACTTGACATCTCCTGTTTGGTGGCACAAAACTTACCACTGAAAGTCGTTATCTTAACACATCTAATTCAAGAAAAAGAAACTTAACTGGGTAATTAAAAATAACAGTACCTGTCCGAGGAGACTTGTTTATTTAAAAGGTATGCATTTGCTGTGACTCATACTGTTTCTAACACTAATGTGCGCTTTTAACAGAATAACGTTATTCAGACAGTCCGCATAGTACATAATGCACACTGTGGGATCCAATTAACTACTGTTTAATTGTTTTAGACTTAGACAAGGCTGGAACAAATTCTTAGATTTTATTAAAAATTACTGAACTTACTATGACAAATGCAACTTCTTCACATTTTTTTGTTGTGAAAGAGTCAGTAAAATAAACTATCTGATCGTACGAACAGTCAAGCAATACAGACAATTCACTGCTTTAATAGTATCAAAAGAAATTAACAATGACATATGTCCTGTATAGTAGCACAATATACAAAAGCGGGTAATATCATGTCGCTTGAAAACTGCAGTTTTGAATCCAAGAAATTCAGTTAAACTGCTTATGCATGTTATATTTAAGATAAGGTTATACTTACACACATATTTGTGTATGCTAATTTTTTTCAGCTGTTAGCTGAATTTATTGTTTGTGTGAGTAAAACTGTAATTTTCAGAAGGAACTCCTGCCCTCTATTGAAAATATCAGAGACAGAATTGTTGCTGTTTATCTCTGAATGTCAAAAAAAAATTAACAAGAGCTCTAAAACTGATGATCCTAATGCATCCATGTTGATTTCAACAAAGAAAAGAAGAAATGAATGGCAATGCAAAAGTGAGATGGAAGAGTAGTTGAGGTGTGATTTATTTGTGGAAGTTGTTACCTGTTTATATATTGTTCCACTTAGAATTGACTTTTTTTTACACCTTCTTCCAATACCCTTTTCTTATGTCTTTCTTTTCCCTGAAAGTTAGAAACTTAAGTCTGTGGTTCTTTTGCTGAGAAAATCAGAGAAAATAGAAAGGAAGAAAAGGATTCTGTAATATCCTTCACCCATGCATTACTACAAGATTAATCCCTTTTTCTTAGGCACTAATGTGCTATTTAAATTGTTGTTGAATATTTTCATTTGTAGTATCTTCCTACTGTTACAGAACTCTTACTAATATGAATTGCATTAATGTTTATTTTTATAACTCTTATGATAATATTCCTACCATCTTCAGAGGCGCGGAATAATTCAGTTTGCTTACACAATCACCAGTGAAGTCAGAGAATCACAGAATATGCCAAGTTAGAAGGAACCCACAAGGATCATTGATCCCAACTCCTAGCCCTGCACAGGACCGTCCTCAAGAGTCACAGCATGTGCCTGAGAGTATTGTCCAGTAAAGACAGAGTTCTTGAACTCTGTCAGCCTTGGTGCTGTGACCACTTCCCTGGGGAGCCTGTTCCAGTGCCCAACCACCCTCTGGGTGAAGAACCTTTTTCTAATATCCAACATAAACCTCCCCTGACGCAACTTCAGACCATTCCCTTGAGTCCTGTCCCTGGTCACCACAGAAAAGAGATCAGTGCCTGCCCCTTCTCTTCCCCTTACGAGGAAGTTGTAGATTGCAGTGAGATCTCCACTCAGTCTTATCTTCTCCAGGCTGAACAGACCAAGTGCTCTCAGCAGCTCCTTATACAGCTTTCCCTCAAGGCCCTTCACCATCTTCATTGCCTCCTTTGGACACTCTCTAATAGCTTAATATCTTTATGTTGTGGTGCCCAAAACTGCCCAAAATATTCAAGATGAGGCCACCCCATTGCAAAGCAAAGTGGGACTATCACCTCCCTTGAGTGGCTGGTGATGCTTTACCTGATGCCCCCAGGACATGGTTGGTTCCTCTGGCTGCCAGGGCACTGCTGACTCATATTCATAGGATGCAATGTTTTCCAGGGGAAGTTATTTTCTAAAGTGGAATGTGTGTTAATTTTCTTTGTTCATTAGCCAAAACAAAACTGGTGACCAAAACCGTCTCTGTCAAACAATAAGACATCTATCACAGAGAGCATGGGTAGATATGTTCTTTGATTAAATCTGTCTAATATTTATGCTCAAATGTAGCTTCTTCAGTCTCTCTCCTTTAAGTCATAGCCACTTTTATTTGTGTATGTATTTATTTCTTTTTCAATTTTTTAGTGAAGATTTGCAAGATATTTAAGCGGAAAGATATATTTATGTATTTTTAAGGGTTTTTTTGAGAATTCTTTTTTCTGGATTGGATTTTTCCTTATCACTTGCATAATATTTTAAGTGTACCCTTGTAATTCCTTCTATCTATTTTTCTTCACTATTATCTTTTTTGGGGGGTTGCATGTTTATATAGGCAAAAGGATGTGTCTCTCTTAGGTGGTAAAGAAGAACAACTTTTCCAGCGGTTATCGAAGATCTCCATCGGTCAAACAGCATCATTTTGCTGTGCCAGTAGAGGTCAAGAGTTGAGGCAATTCTTGATATGAACAGCTTGCTTTTGTAATAACATAGCTGTGGGCTAATCTGCAGTTACAAAGGTTTAACCTATACATTTTGATACTGGATAGGAACATCTGAGCTAAAGTTCTTCTGAAAAAAAGTATTAAAATTTCTTAAATGTAAGGGGGAAAACCTCAAACCTCCACAATTAAAATAAACTGAAGGTCCTTGCTATCAGTCCAGTGTGTAAATGCTTCCAAGTTTG